GAATATTTAGTAAAAAGGAATTCTGACATTTTGGTCACAAAAAAGTTTCATCGTACGTTTGTACATTTTTAGTTAATTAGTATGTTGGTTTGGACTTGAATACAGGTTTGGTATTTATTTCCTAAGATCAGAAGCAATGGGCGTGAACTTTGTGGATGTAGTGCCTATTTTTGATTAGAGTTGAGATATTGTTTTCAATCCAAAAATTAGCAAAATATTTTTGAAATTTTAAAAATCGCTTTTTCTTATTTTAAATTTTAATAGCTATCTGCGGGCCAAAATAGCCTAAGTATAAAATGCAATTGAGTATATAATTAGATGGGTAGCTATTTAGGATTAAGGAAACGAAACTATACGCGTGGTGCGCAGCACTTTTAAAAAGTGCTTAAAGATGCTTATTTTCAATTTTCGTTTTTTAAAAGCCATTAGAGGTGCTTTTTTATGGAGAATTTTTAAAAAGTGCTTAATTTTTCCTTTTTGAAAATTAGATTTTTTTTCTTTATCATGTCGATTTACGCTGCGTATAAGGCAAAAGCGTGGTTTTCACATTGCTCTATTCAGCGTTTTCACAATTCATTCAAACACAATTCATTTCGGCGTGTAGTTGGTCCTTAACATATGATAGTGCCAATCATGTTACATATTTGATGAAATACTTGGGAGCCCGCATCTGCGTCCAATGAACACGATTCGGCGAGATTCTTGCATTCTCATGTGCAACTCAGTTGCATTTCGCAAGATAATCTCAATTTCAAGCTTCATTTTTCACCCTCTGAAATCTAACCGAAAAATCTCTCGATCTTCTTATGGTGGCTAATGTAATCAAGAAAAGAGTTGTTTGTCAGAAACTAGTTATTTTATTATGATCATGTAAAGTCTTAGAAAATTATTTTGCATTTTTTTAATGTATATAGTGCTTAAAAAGAATTTTTTAGTGCTTGAAAAGTACTTTAAAGGTGCTAATTTTTTGTTTTGGCTACTCACCCTGATACATTAGCATCTAAATAGAATTTCCCACTTTTCTAAACATACATTAGTATTTATGAGCTACGTTTTATTTATTTAATTTTGTGTGCAAGCTTACCAATTCCGAATTCGTCTCGCGAATGTTTTTGTATGCATCTAATGAGGAGAGGAAATAATTTCTTAAATATATAATTAAATAAGTAATATTTAATTAAATCTTAAATATTTAATTAGATTAAAAAACTAACAAAAAATTATTCGAACATCAATACTTAGAAATTATTTAAATAAATGTATAAAATCTTTTATATTAAATGGACACGATTTTATAGAGTTTAATTAATTAGTGCAAGAGAAATAAAAATAGAATCTGCTCACAATTGCTGATTTAACTGTAAGTTTCCCATCTTTATAATATATATATATATATATTTTTACTCACGATAAAAATTAACCTTAGCAAAAAAGGAAAAGAAAATTTTAAAAAAGTACTGAGAATAAATTTGTAACATAACTCAAATCATTAAATTTTTCTTAAACAAGCTTTAATAAGAATACATTTTTTCTTACGCTTAACTTTAAAAATCATAACTTTCAATTTATTTACATACAAAATAGATTTTGTCTTGCATTATTTTCTCTTTCACTTGCTGCATAATTATTTTCTAACTGAATAAAATTAATCCATTTTGAAAATTTTATATTTTTTGATTTGAAAAATAATAGATTAGATTAGATTTAATAGATTTTTTGATTTGAAACTAGTTTATATTAGAAAAATTTCATTATTTTTTTATAAGTGATGAAAGAATTAAATATCTATAAAAGTTAAGAATTGGATATGAATTCGTTTTGACTTTACTCTGTAGTGGCTTCAAATAGTTCTAGAACTTAAAATGCATTTTTTATCATAAAGAAAAGTAATGTGGAATCAGATTTTGCAATAACTAAAAATTATTGCAATAACAAACTGAAAATTGCTACATTAGAAAATATAATTCTACAATCTAAGACTCAATAACTTTATAGAAATAATTTAAAATTTTGAAAAACTGCTTAGTATACAGGGTGATTCTAAAAAGATGGGCAAAATTTTAGGAAGTGATAGTACACACCCAAGCAAACAATTTTTATCAAAGAATGCATGGTCGAAAACAAAACGCAAAGGTGCTGGTGCATTTGGAAAGTTGTTTGATGTAAACGTGAAAGCACCATTTCTGTTACGAGTTACTGCGCTTCGTTACTTGTCACCAAGCTTTCGGCCGCTGCAGGGAAAGTTCGTGATATGCCTGGTGTGTTTCAGAATGTTCGCCCATTTTTTCTTCGCCGTTGTACTGCATGCATAGCCACTACCGGCCACTGTTTTGAACACTTATTGTAATCACATGCCATTAAATTTGCTTTTATAACTTCAGCGTTCTTTGTGTGTTTTTGCCTCATATAAGAACATAAACTTTGACCCCCTCTAGCGGTTTTGCGTTTAGTTTTCGACCATGCATTCTTTGATAAAAAATTGTTTGCTTGGGTGTGTACTATCACTTCCTAAAATTTTGCCCATATTTTTAGAATCACCCTGTATAATTTTATTACGAGTGAATATAACAGTTCGAAAGGAAAGTAATTCGATCTCAACGGTAGGTGAAAACTCTTTTCACCACACCTACTAAATATAGCTATTTACCTTTGATAAAAATCGAAATACGTTGGTAATATTTGGAAAAAAGTTCTTTTTAAAATGTATTGAGAAAAACCGGTATTTTCCGTAACTGTTAACAACTTGCTTACTTTAACAGAGATTTTTGCTCTCCTTACTGTATTCTATAATTTTTTTACAGTGTATGTGTATTTTTATTAAACTATAAAAATGCATTGTTAAAAGTAAAATGAAATGTTTTGTATTCAATCAAAAATTAGTAACACCTATTTTAAATTATTAAAAAAAATTAAATGTCTCATTAACGATTTGTGAAACTTTTATAGATATATTTACTAAATGTTAAAAAAAAGCACAAAAAATTTGTACTAATGCATGATTTTTTCATTTAACGGGAACCTACTCTAAACAGTTTTATACTAATATTTATAATGTATTAATAATTACTTAATGTTAGTATTAAAAGAAGATTTTGCAAAAAGTTATTTTTAAAATCAAGGTGAGTACAGTTTTTATTGTATATAACGTAAGAGTTCCGAAATCCCTTTTTATTAAAGGTAAGTAATTTTTTTACCGTTAAATTATAAACAAAGCATTCTTTAAACATAATTAATTAATGCTTGTACCCTAACAATATTTTAATCTGTTCATTCTATACATTAAAATTTTAATTAGAAAACATTTAATAATTTAAGACGCTTTTTAGGAAGAGGATTTAAGGCTTCCTTTAATTTCTTTTTAATTTCACAAGAACAATATTATTCTTTTCATGCATATATACCTCCAACAAAGCCCTGTGTATGTTCTTAATTCTTATCAAACAATAAAGTATTTTGTGAGAAATATTTTTTTTTATGGATAGTAAATAAGTTGCTCTGTTTTTTTACCATTTCTGAAAAAAAAATAATACCTAACTGTTTAAAATATTTTTTATAGATTACAAATTGGGATTTTGTGTATTTATTATCTATGTTAAAACATTAAAGAATATTTGTTAGATTTTAAATTTATTGATAAATACCTTGAATAAGTATAGTTGATAAATATATAAAATACTAATAATTATAAAATAAATATATATTTCACATTTTCTATTAAACATGTGATTTGTAATTAATATCAAATAGCCGCATATTTCCATACTGTGGGTAGGTAGGAACGTACTTTATTTACGCAGCACTAGAGCTGCACAATGGGCTATTGGCGACGGTTTGGGAAACATCCCTGAGGATGATCTGAAGACATGCCATTACAATTTTGTACCTCTGCAGAACTGATGGCTCTACCGTTTTGGTAGCCCGATCCCGAGCTCGATTCCGAGAACTTTTCGGTTGAACAGTTTAATGAGGACTGATATCGCGTACCCTCGATCCCTACGCAGGCTGAAGTGGTCACCCACTCGCTTACTGACCGCAGCTAGTGATGCTTGACTTCGGTGTTCTACTGGGAGCCAGATCTTTACGAACAGTCAACTGGGGGCCTCCATACTGTGAGATATGTTATTTTTTAAATAAATAAACCGAATACTATATTCCAAGTTTTGAAATTTTTTCAAATGTAATATTTTTATTCGAAATGAAGTAAATAATGGCTGAATTCGAATTGAATAAATAATACAACACAGACTAATTTTTCAAAAGCAACAAAACATATTTTTATGTTAGCTTTGTCCTTGGTGGGTTGCGTATATATACTAGAAAAATCTATGGTTCCAAATTTTAAAAAAAAAAGAAAACAATTGCACAGGAGACAATATAACAAACGCCAACAAACTTTAAAACATAAAAGTCAATTGAGTATTTATTTCATTTTTTATAATTCAATTTAATTTCCTAATGTAGAATGCGTAACAGTTGTATCACGCTAACGTCATTCAGCAAATTCGTAGGGTTTTAAGGGAATTAAAGGACATGCTATCAATTAAAATATTAAGGATCTAGAGATTAAATCTCCAACGATGTACAAAATGCACGCAAACTATTGAGTATGCAAAGAGGACACAAAGAAATTATAAAACTTGATGTAGGACAAAATTTGAAAACAGGTATTAAAATACGTTTATTTGGCTTTCAGTGTTAAAATCGTGTGCTATTACTTCAATTTTTAAGCAGTAAGTAAAAATTTCATAGTTGATGAAAAAAATAGGCATAACATACAGTTTAAAATATGAAGTTATTGCACTTCACTTTCGAAATGACTTAAATAATTTTTAGAAAATATCTAATATTAATCAAACATCAAATCTTGCACAAAATAAAAAGTTTTCTTTTTTGAAATTAAATTTTATTTATTATTTTTTATCAATGCAGAAATAATACAATGTAAAATACAACCAAAGTACAATTTTTAGTTATTGATTCGAGATTTTATCCCTTTACAGAACGAGTCTACAAAGGCAGTTTTGTAATTCTTGGGGGGGACAAGTACAGCTCTAGCCTTGCTGACACCCTCTCTGATGATTTCCAAGAGAAAGCAAATGCTTATAAAGCAAGGGTAAGTAGCTTTATTTACTCTATTTTATCTAAATGCAATTTAAGAGCTTGGGGCAAATTTAATGGTAAACCATACAATTAAAAGAAGTTTCTAGGTTAAAAACATCAAGGTTTCCATGTTTTACATGTATTGTGTAATCGAGCAGAAATACCTATCTGGAAATAATAACATGAAACAATTTGATGTAAATATTTCAACTTGTTTATCACTATGTTGCCCCTAGTCTCTAAATTATGAAAATAAACAATCAATGGTAATGGTAAGCACATTTTCTTTTCTCCAAATAAACCAACAATATTTTTAAGCATAAAACTTAGAGTTACATTGTTTACACATTTAATCATCAAAAAAGTAAATTTTTTGCTCACGTTTTTTCTTTAAGATTTTTTAATGTAAAAATTATAACCTAAATATAAATATTTTTATTTACAAATATATTGTTGCAAGACTAGCTATTTTTCAATGGGATTTTCTTTCATATTATGAAGCACATCATAAAGAAAAACTACCAGCGTCATACTAATCAGCAACATGTTTTCATTAAGATAACTTTTTAAAAATATCGAGATTTAGTTTAGAAAATGCTCTAATAACAAATCATAGAAGATAAAAAATTTTCTTTGATAAAAATGGGAAAAAATCGCTGCAGACGTCTAGACATTATTTCATTAAGAAACCAAGTTCTAAATATTTATCAAATAAATAACATGCAAGTTGAATGTGCGGAATTAATTATTGGAGAAGATTAGGTAAATAATAGAAGCGTAACTTTTAATTTCAACCCACATAGCATAAGGGGAATACAATGTTGCGTAATTCTTTGCAAAGTATAACAATTATTAAATTTCAAGGAAGTGTAGAGGATTTATCTTCTTTGTTGACTATCCAGGTCGTAACATTTGTAAAATTTAAAAAATATATTCAACTCTAGAACGTTGATATTCAAAATTACTTAAATTCGTCATACCTTTTTTTTAGTAAAGATCTAAATATCAAAAGGTTCTTTCAAAATAAATTATAAAGGGAAAGTAACTGATTCGTTACGTATATTTACATTGTGTCTGGATAATCTTTCAGTGTGTAAAGAAAATTCAATTTTCCATTTAAATAAACTTTGTATTTTTGTATTTTGTGATGCTGAAAATTATTTTTTTCTTAATTTAGTTTTTGGATATCTACGGTATACTTTTTTTGCCTTGAGGAAATCAATCTTTTTTTCTAACTTGTATAAATTAAACCCACATTCTTAAAGTGATTTAACCCCAAAATATTTAAGTGATTTTTCGTCTCTTTCAATACGATTATCCCTTTCGATGCATTCCGATTCGATTAAATTGGTCAAAAACATGTTAGTACAGTGCAGTTTTTACACTTCCGAATCCATAACAATTAGAAGTTTAACGTTCTCCCTGTCCCTGACGATGCATTCCGATTCTATTAAGTTGGTCGAAAGCATGTTAGTAAAGTGCAGTTTGTACACATCCGACTCTATAACAATTAGAAGTTTAACGTTCTCCCGGTTGTCTACAAACTTTGGGCACTACTACTCAATCTTTATCTTCAATTCGGATATCGTGAATTTAAAGCCTCGATCGGATTACTTCATTTGGCTTACTCGAAACTCAACAGCACCTGGTATCTTTGTAATACAGTAACGGATAAAAAAAAAAGAAACATTTTTCCTGAATATATGCATTGTTGAAAGATAACATATGTATTATTGTATATACAGTGTGAGCTTAATGCAGTGTGCCATTTAACCAACAAAAATCAAATCCTTACAGCTTGTTTATAATATCTACGGGTTCTTTTTCCATCGTTGAGGAAATCAACGTTTTTGTGAACCTCAAATGGCTTCAGGCATTTCTAGTCTTTTTTTTTCTCTTCATTTTCCTTCAATTCAATCCGATTCTATTAAGTTTGTCTATAACTAGATTGTAAGTGTCTTACTATAACAGTTAAACATTTAACATTCTTCAGAATGTTTACAATCTCCAGGTACCACGACTAATCTTCAATTCGGATACCACGACTTTGAAGCCTCGAGTGAATTAGTTCATTAAGTTTACTAGAATCCCAACAGCACCTGGTATTTTAATAGTAATACAGTGGCAGGCAAAAAAAAAGAAGAAAAAACGACATATTTGGACTGCGACATATTTGAAAAAGAGAAAAAGCATTATTTTTCAAAAATAAAGTTTAGTTTTATGATAGTACGTGTTTGTTTAACGATAAATATGCTTGCAAGATATTAAGATATTTGTGTGTTGTAGTTCTAGTTGGTAACCTTCTCTCAGCCTGATCCCACCCTTTTCGAACATCACTTTCAAGATTGTCAATTTTTTCTGTAATCCCTCGTGTTGAACATTTCTTTTTTAGCTGAAACAGCTATATTTTTTTCTGTTTCGTCAATTAAAATTACAGAGCCATTGTTTCATTGTTTGAAAAAAAGGACGTAAACGGCTTTATCTTTTTGCTGCAGCATTTATAGAAACCTGATGTCATAATCACTATACAATAGACTTCAAATCACTTTATAATGGAAGTATGGAATGATTTCGTAGCTTGATTTCACACAATTAAGCTATTTCATGCGTTTCCTAGGTAATGCAGTTTTCAATTAATATTTTTTTCTAGTTAATGCAGTTTTTTTTCCGACACTGTTTTTGTTCATTTTTTAAAACTAATTTAAATTACCACTGATTCAGTTTACCAGAAGTACAAAATGTTGCTGATGTATAGTGTGGGTTGGTGTCAAGCCGAAACAGGGTTAGTTTATTTACATTTGTTCAGTTTTGTTTTGTCAGACTTAGTTTACAACACTGTTAGGTATCCTTACCTAACTCTGCAATACACTACATTGATTTTGAGATGTCGTCAACTGTCACCATTAAAAAATTTTAAAAAATTATACCTTAAAAATTAGTAATCACATTACTTTAAGATTTTTAAAAAAATATATAAAAATATTGTTTTTTATATTTTAAACGATTTCTTCCTTACAATTAGTTCAAACAGCATTTTAACTTTGTGATGGACATTACACGAATATCTCATAATTCAACTACATCTGAATCCATTTATCTTGCTTTTATTTTATTTACAAGAAATTGTATAAGACTTGCATTCTCTAAAATGGAGCATAACATGAGTGTTTCTATTTTTGAATCATTTATGCACTCTATTTCTTAAAAATGTTAATTGTAAAAATGAAACAGTGTAAAAATGTAAAAATGAACGCATTTTCTTAAAAATATGAATTTCAAGCTTTTAAAAGAACAAGAAGTTAAATATAAGAAAATCCTATTACACATTTTAAAGAACTATTATCACATATAAACAAAATAGAAATTGAAGTAGACTCGGCTCTTTCAATAAAAAAGAATTGACTGTCTGGAAAAAGTACTTGAAATTTGAAAAATTGTACGTTCTTCTTTTTATACTATTTGATATAGGTTGTCAAAAAGTTGGAATTTCAAAAAGTACAAACTTTCTTAACTCCTCAAATAGGTTCGAATTTCTGGAAATTACTTCGACATTTATTTTACCAGGTATATAGTTTAGAATAAGTTTTATCTTTTCTTAAACATTTAATGTTAATTATAATTTTATATTTATTTGAGGAAGTTGTTTAAAGATATTTTATTACTTAAATATGTCAAAATTACAGAAGGTAAAAGGAACAAAAAGTAGCCGGAACTGAATCAAATTTGCTGAGAGTTTCAAGAGTATTTTCTTAAAACATAATTTGTATTATTATACAAGGAGGAAAAAAATTCTGTTCAAATTACCGTACTGTATGACAATATCACTTCTGGTAAAAGGAACTATAATTATGCTTATTAAAACCAAAATATACGGTTCTTAAACTATTTACTTGATAATTTTTCCGTTTATTTATAAAAGGCTCATCGAAAATTTTGATTTTCAAAATTATGGTTCTTATTACCAAAACTGAAAAGTAAATTTAACTGAATAAATGACTTTTTTATGCCATGTTCTAATGTATCATGATAAAATTATCAAATTTCATCACATTTACCAAATTTTATCACTTATTACAAAATCATAACTTTTTGTAAATTTACAAATTTCATTACCTAAGTGCTTCGGTAAAGACTACTGAACATTTAAGTGTTCCCATAGACCCAGAAACACGGTAAATTTAATCATATTCTGGTAGTTTAAACTGCAATTTTTTTCTCGGTGTAAGTTAGCTCACGGTACTTTGGTCAATAACATGTTAAGTCACATTTTCAAAATGTTAAGGATAACTTTTTCAAGGGGGCGTAAGAGGCTTCGGTGTAGTGTGCTATTGTCTAGCTGAATTTCTGGAAACTTGCGAAGTACTTATTAAATTGTCTCACAGTATTGTTTCCAGATATCAAGATGCTGAATTAGAGAAAATATAGCGTTTTTTTATATTCCTTCAAACCTTGGACTAGTATTCTTTCTTTCTAAGTAAAACAAGTCTTAATGAGTTTCTTGTCAAAGTCAATTATCAATCTTGTCAATTGGTTATGAAAAAGATTTAATACAATTTTTAAAAAAAACAAATATGGATACATATAAAAATGTGTAGCATCCGAAATATTCGTAATCATGAAATTTAAGAAAGCTTTCAACAATACTAAATTAATTTATCACAAATACTAGTATTTAATTTCTCTTTTCTTAATAAAAGAACTTCAAATTTAATAAGAAGTATCAGTTATTTTTTAAGTAAAAATATAAAGTGACACATTTTATTAAGAGTTGCGTACCCTTTACTTTTTCTCATTTAAATTAAATTATATAGCTTTTTATGAAAAATATTTTCTAACATATTTTGAAAAATTTTCCAACTATTTACATTCGCTGAAGTAATAAAATTCTAAACAATGATTACTTTAAAAATTTAAATATACATATATATTTCTAATCAAACATAGTGAAATTTTATGCTCAAAAGAGAAATATTCAATTATAGCGATTGCTGTTTTTTAAATGCAAAACTTATT